GAACAGTCTGATAGTGGAACAGTCTGATAGTTGAACAGTCTGATAGTTGAACCCTAACAGCCGTGTCAAACAGAAGGAATGAGTAAAGCAGAGACCACTCCTCCTCTGCAGATGTTTGTGGGAGGTTCCAGGTTCGTGCTGGATCATGTGTTGGACGTCCTGTGTTTCAGGTTCCTGTCGGGCAGATGCACCATCTACAAGCTGTTCGGCCTCTGCATGGTGCTGCTGCTGGTGTCTCTGCTGTGGCTGCAGCTCAGCTGTTCAGGGGACATGTCGTCTCCGATGCACGACGGCAGACGCCAACAGCCGCCACCGGCGCCCTGTCCCATTGACAGTCGGGCATCCGCAGCGGACGACCTCTCCTGGGGTCCTCACAAACTGGCCCTGATCATCCCCTTCAGAGAGCGCTTCGAGGAGCTGCTGGTGTTCGTTCCCTTCATGCACACGTTCCTCAACAAGAAGAAGATCCGCCACAAGTTCATCATCATCAACCAGGTGGATCACTACAGGTGAGAAGGAAGACGACCGTAATCTAAACACACGTCACGTGACCGTTCACGTCCACCGGTCACACGTGGACGGGTTCAGTTAAACCGTCTGCAGACGTCAAAGCTTCCAGTGTTTTCTTTTGTTCTTTAAAGGTTTAATCGAGCGTCCCTCATCAACGTCGGCTACCTGGAGAGCGGGAACGACACAGACTACCTGGCGATGCACGACGTGGACCTGCTGCCGCAGAACGACGCTCTGGACTACGGTTTCCCTGAGGGCGGCCCCTTCCACGTGGCCTCACCCGAGCTGCACCCCCTCTACCACTACAAGACGTACGTGGGAGGAATCCTGCTGCTCACCAAGAAGCATTACCACATGGTACTGAGCTGCTTCACACATCATTGACCCCAATATACTATATTTATTCATTCAGGTGTATTAGAGTTGTTCTTGACTCAGATGTTGTGATGTACTGATTTAATTCGTCCACCAGGTGACGCTGTTAGCTGTAGTTTGAGCAGTCATGCAGTAAGTGCACACAGAGAGGATGTGATGAGCCCTGTTGTTGTTTGACAGTGTAACGGGATGTCAAACCGCTTCTGGGGTTGGGGCAGAGAAGATGACGAGTTCTACAGGAGACTGAAAAAAGCTGAACTACAGGTAAGAAGAAGAATGAGCAGAGTTAAAGCTTCATCAATAAGAGAGAGACTGAAAGATCTCAGGAGAAAGACGACAAATATTCATCTTTTAATTAGAGACTCGATGTTTTTTAATCCTCGGCCACAAGACGAGATAAAACTTTATTGATCCCACGCTGGAAACGCTAACGCTCGTTACAGCGACAGATCGTCAGAATGAGACGAGGTGAAAGTACAAAAAATATAAAAACATAAGACATGTACATTATAAACATCTTTCACTAAGAACAGGATGATTACACTGAGTGTTACAATGGTCTGCTTGTGTATAGGGAGATGTTAGTATATATCTAGAAATGCAGGTATAGTATACAGTAAACCATGAACATAATATATCTCTTCACAATAAGCTACATGCATACATAAAGATGAAATATATAATGTGAATAATGAGTACTCTTATGTAAATGTAATAATGAAGATAGGAGAGTGTGAGTCAAAGGGAAAATATAACCTGAGGTGAAGAAAGTGGTGAAAGTAAAATTATTATCACCTTTAGTTTGAAACCTTCTGCACAAAGAAGGAAACAGTTTTAATTTAATTATAATTAATGTTCCGTTAAATCAGTTTTAATAATTTGATAAGAACTTTAAACCCTAAAGAATTTCAAGTTTTAAATAAGTCTTCAGTCAGAGGTTTGAGTCCTACGTTCACTTTTATGACTTTCGCTTTGATCAGTGTTTGAAAACGTGACAGACGTCTCGTTGTTCTTCTCCAGCTGTTCAGACCGAGCGGAATCACGACAGGATATAAAACCTTCCTCCACATCCACGACCCGGCCTGGAGGAAGAGAGACCAGAAGAGAGTGGCAGCTCAGAAACAGGTACGAGCGTTCATCACGAGTCCGTCACACGTTGAATTCAGCAGCTTGTTCTGCACGTGGTGGAAAAGTCAAACGTCCAGAGGATCATCAATTAATTTACATTTGTCTCGTCACCATCTCTGAAACTACAGAAAACCACAGAGGATGTGATGACAGCTGCTCCAAGCTTTTATTCAAACATCCTCAGCTCTGCATCGATTCATGAGTAACGTACGTTACAAAATGTGTAAAAGTACACGGGCAGTTCAACAAACCTGTAACACACACGAGTCATTTAATATTCACTCAGTGGACGTAAGAGAACACGTTGTTGAGACGCATTCAAATAAAATACATTTAATCCTGAGGATTAAGTTCTGCAGCGGCCGCAGGTTCAGTTCTGACCTGGCCGCTCCGCAGCGAGGTTTCCGACGCTCTCTCACTTTCACGCTGTGATCCTCAAAACATCTTCAACAAATAAATGTGCTGGTGAAAATGCACCTTTGCTCTTCAGTGTCTTTATCAGAGGATCTCAGGATTAAAGCTGCTGCGGAGGAATTTAGAAACTCAGCTAAGTGTCATCAACAGCAACACTTTAAAATCAGAGGTGAAACACAGGCAGCTCAGCTGGAGGAGACGTCCTCACGTTTCTGTGATGAAGAGTCTGAAGGTTTATTCAGGAACATAAACACAGAATAAAAAATAATCTTCATCTCTAATCCGCGGAAAAAGAATCAGATTTACAGAGAGAACAAGAATAAAACCTTTGGATGTCAACATTTGAATAAACACATGTAAATCCAGATGTCCCCCCCCCCCCCTCTGTCCCTCCTCCCTGTAGGAGCAGTTTAAGGTGGACCCAGAGGGGGGGCTGACTAACCTGCGTTACCAGGTGGAGTCCAGACAGGAGCTGACCATCAGCGGGGCTCCGTGCACCGTCATCAACACCAAACTGGAGTGTGACCAGAACCAGACGCCCTGGTGTCTGCTGCTGTAGACCACGGACGTGGGTTCAGTTCCCGACGCTCCCCTGGAAACCTTTCAGGGTTTTAACGAGACGCCGATTCTTCAGGGAAACGCTCGTGCTTCTAGTTTTTTTGCGAAGGGATTTCATTTGTCCTGATGATCAGCAGCTGGATTGAAACCATCGTCTTCAGTGAAACCAAACATGGCTGCAAATACTTGTGTGACAATAACAGACATATTGAACATTGATTCATTTCAACATTGAACTGAAACAACAGCAGTTGAAGTTCAATGATCTGAGGATTAAACAAACCAGCCGCTAACTTCTCTTTTAATCCGTCTGGTTCGGACATGACGGATTAAAACGACCATGAACACAAACTCTTCCTGGCGTCTGACCTCAAACCTCAGCGGACGGACACCGACTGTTACATCGTGGCTCATCTGAATCAAACTGGACGATCACGACCGAAACGCAGCTTGTTGTTTTCTTTTGGTACGAGAACTTCAAATCTATTTTTTTACTGTGGGCTTGTGCAAACAGCAGTTTGAGAAGATGGAGGAACAACCTCCAGCGACGCCCGTTTCACCAGATGTTTCACCACGTCTGGACAACGTGCGTGTTTCTGTAACATCACAGGGTTTCTCTAAGGTTTTAAATCAGGAAATGGTTGAAAATAATATTGAAGATTCATCAAACTCAAGCGTTTGGCAAAGTTCTGATTACGAACCTCGAAAGTATTTTATGTTGAAACTCGTTTTTATTCTTTTCGGAGAAAGTGTTTGTATTTACTTTTCACAGAACGTTTTTAAACTCAGAGGATTCACCAAAGGAAAAAAAGAAATCAGGATTTCTGTGTTTCATAATCAAAACTTAATGAACGATTTCACTTTCCATAATTACAAGAACTGATGAGGTATGATGTCACAACTACGAGAAAGTAGTTTCTTTTCTTTGAGTTTCTTCAAAGTTAACTGAGCCGAACTCTGGTGACGCCCACACTGACACGTTTTGGTTTTTAAACTCATCACTGTTGCCATGGTTACGCCTGTTGCCCACACTACTCTGGAGTTTTCGAGACTCGTTTAAACGCTGCTGGTCTCGTTTGAGTCTGAAAACTCTGAGGTTGTGTTTTAGTCTGAAGGGACAGAAGCGATGACGCTCACGTTCTCTTCCTGGTGTTTCCAGGTGTCGGTGTGGGCGGAGCCAAACCAGTATGAATGAATGGTAGCAGATGATGCTTCACCAGTGTTTTTAACACCAGCCTCAATGATTTAGATTATTCTCATCACAGTTTAATAAAATAAAGTCTGAGTCTGTTTTTAAAACACAAAAGGAAAGAAAATGATCTCAGAATCACTGAACTGGTTTATTGAGATAAAACTCGGAGCGTGTTTTCAGTTTGAATCTCTTCGGTCTGGTTTTTAGTTTAGTTTTTGTTCGGCTGCTGACACTGTCTTCTTCCCTGCTGTTGTCATGTGCTGGTCGGCCTCCAGGGTGCGCCATGGAGTTTTAAAGGCAATGTGTTTAGAGGCGTTCATTTACAGACCATGATGTCATGTGATTTAGTTTTACACCGATGATGGTGCCATTTATTTGTACAGTATTCAGTATTTATATACAAGGAAAAAAGAAGCAGTTGTGTGGTTGTGTCTTTTTCTTTGTCTTCTTATTATTCATGATTTTAAAATCTTCCTCTGATACTTATCACACATTCAAAACTCTGAAAGTGACCGAATTCACTTCTTCTCAATCTGAGCAACAAGAAAATCTAAATACTTGATTGTTCATATGAAGCAGCTGGAGACGAGTTCACAGCCTTAAATCACCTCCTCTTACACGTGTGATCGTCGGTGTGCATCTTTACGGTTCCTCCACATACATGTCACCTCCTCTTCGCTCCTCATTTGCATGACGAGTTGCTGCCGGTGTGACTTTTCACACGCACATGTGAGTCAGCAGCGGGAGGAATGCAGGTAAACACAGGTGAACGTGGAGGAATGAAGGTGTGTGGTTACCGGAGTGACGGAGCAGAGGTCAGCGGAGCCATCAGCAGGTTAAGACAGCAGGAGTTACATCCGGTTAGCCTGCTCCTCCTAATGAGCCACTGTGGATCTGCTCCACACTGAAACTGCAGAAGAAGAAGAGTTGACCCGACCTCTTCGTCACACTCTGCTCGTTGTTTGTGTTTCTAATGTGTTGATGTTTAATTCATTATTAACTCATGAATCCACAAACATGAGGAGCTCATGGAGATCAGACGGAGGAACGTCACATCCTGGACATTTACTGAGAAAGATCTGGAAATAAAAACAAGCACCTCAGTGTGAATTCATTTAACTAAAGTCTACGATAACAGTTGTTCAGGCTGCAGTTTGAACACATGTTGATCACAGCCGTGTCCCTGGGGCCCCTGAAGGCCCCGGCTGCCTTGACAACCCGCCTGTGTCGTCTCCTGCCGACAGAAACCAGCTCTGAAGGTGCAGTTGTGGATTTTTTGGGGGGACGAGCCAAAGACGGCGACAGAGACAAAGAGAGGGGTGAATCTACACCTCCCCCCCCCTCAAAGCTTTTCCCCCACGGGTGCAATTTTCACCTTTTGTTGGAGGTGACTGTGATGATGAGGAAAAAAAACACCTCCGCTCACAAATAGACGACAGCAGCACCCCTGCACTGCAGCTTTGTGCTAATTTTTTAATTCCCCTCTCAGTAATTATAATTCTTTATCTCGGCTGTAATATAAGATAATGGAAATTGTATAGTAATAAGTACGAGAGCCAGGCTGCGCCGTTCACACGTATTTATAGATGCTCAGAGTTCGAGAGCAGATGTGGTGCAGACACTTAATTTTCAGCCTTTGTTAATGAATGGGGGGGGGATTATGTTTCTATTATGGTGCAATTAGCAAAAAAATAAAAGATAAACTGGAGCGAAGAGAGCACGTAATCATGTTCACAGCATGTCTCATAAAACACAGAGGGGCCGACGCAGTCACAACACAAGCAACTGCTTCAGCTCTGAAGTGAAGACTTCCTGATTCCATTTCAAAGACAGACGGGATGTGAAGAAATGTCCCTCTGGACAGATGCTTTCACCTCCTGGTTGTGTTTAATGAGGACGTGACATCACAAGCACTTGGTCTCAGTCCCTCAGTGTCGATCTTCTCTGTGTCTCACGTGACTTTACAGAACTTTCACCTGTGACTTGATTTAAAAGTTGATTTAACTTTAAGCAGAAAATCCTGTTTGAGTCTGAGCTCCAGAAACAACTGTTCCCTCCTCGGCAGGTCTGTGAATATCAGAGGCTGGTTCATGCAGATGAACAGCAGGTGGCGCTGATTCTTCAGTCAGTCGTTTACAGGAGAGGCAAATGGCTTTGGCTCAGGAGGTAGAGCGGGTCGTCCATTAGCCATAAGGATGGTGGTTCGATCCCTGGCTCCTTCACTCCTCTGAAATACAGTTCATTTACTCTTTAATCGAGAGTGAAGGAGAGGAATGTGATCAAAGCTCGTTGATCTCAGGTGAAGACGTGTTCACGGTTCCTCTGGAGCTTTGACTCGTTCACTGAATCGTCTCCAGGTTCCACATGAGCTTCACTGTCGGAGTCTACGTCCACTTCTATAACTGAACCTGATCATCTTCAGAGATCAGAAGGTTATTTTTACTCCTCTGGACCATTTTTAAATTGACTTCAGGTTGACGACTCAAAAACGTCTTAAAATCTTCGTCCTTTAATTATTGCACAGTTTGAGTTTTTTGTAGATTGAACCTTCTCACATGAACATGATGTTCTACATGTTGTCCTCTGTCTCTGCTGCTGCTCTACATCTGCTCTACATCTAAATCTCATCGCAACTTTATCCTTAATCCAAAGTTTAAATTCAGTGTTTGAGTCAACTAGAGGCGCTGTGGAGTCCTGATGACACACACACACACACACACACACACACACACACACGAAACGAAAAAGAGAAAAGATGAATGACTGATTTAAACAAAGATTTGCAAAGTTTCAAAATATATTTTAAATTAATTTCTTTAAACATATCTTTGTGTGTGTGTGTGTGTGTGTGTGTGTGTGTGTGTGTGTGTGTGTGTGTGTGTCGGCATCAGTCCACCTACAGATGGTCAGACTCACACTCGTCTGTCACACTCTGATTGGCTGCTTTGCTGCTGGAAGCTGCTGAAACAAATCAGACAGATTTTCACACACACTCTCTCACACACACACTCACACACACAAATAGACACACACACACACACAGAGTATGGCACACACAGGAGGAACAGAGCAGCAGTAACAACATGTAATTCCAGAGACGATGGTGTCTGGTGCTCGTGATGAAGATTTAACCTCGAACACGTTGGAATTCTAGAAGCTCGGTGAAGCTGCTGACGCCTCTCGAAGCTTTAGATTTCAACTTGTTCGTTTGCTCTTTGTTGAATTTGTCGGGGCCGAGCAGTGACAACATCTTATTAATGATTTTAATTTGTAGATTGTTGTGGTTAATTTGTTCGATCACCATAAGTTGAACAATCTCTAAGAAAATACTAAACGATCCAGAACAAATGAGTCTTTATGTGTCTCCAGGAAGAAGAGGCAGAAAAATCTGACTCAGAATTATTATAAACACACAATCATTATATATATTCTATTATTATTATTATTATTATATTTAGCACAGAAGATATTCTGCTTCGAATCAGATGCATTTGAATTGTAGTTCATCCAAAGACAGTTTTATAAATGAGGAAAAATAAAATACTCAAGTAAAGATGCAGTAAAAATCATGTAAAATATAAAAATCTATATATTCACAGTAAATGTTAAAAAGTGAATCAAAACAGAAACAGTTTGTTCACCAGTTTTATGAGATTTTACACTTTTATTCCTCTACAGTTCAGTTCAAGGGAAATATTTTAGTTTTCAATTAAACGTATTTATTTTAGACTGAGAGACGTGTTAACGACGCACGTCTGAGCTACATGACACACACACACTCACACAGACACACACACACACACAGAGGGAATATTTGGTTTCATGTTTATTGCACTTTTGTAGCTGAAGCACAAAATGTTGATAATAGAATAAAATGTGGCTACAAGGAAAATATGCTCTTTGGTGAAAGTGAAATTAAAAGTCATAAGATAAAGTGAATATTTAATATTTTTATTAATATGACACAGAAATAAGAAAACAAGTATTATTAGATTTATAGAAACAGGAAAATATAACAGTATATAACATTAATTAAATATAAAAACACAAAATAACATTTAATAGTAGTGATATATAATATCTGAGATGAGAAATATATATATATATTATTTTTACATTTAAGGACATTTTTAATTCAGGTCACACTCCCTGTGATGTGTGTGATTCAGTGTCCGACCACTGGAGAGCGCTGTGCTTTTCTGTTATGAGCTGAGGAGCAAAAACAAACTTTCATTATATAATCTTAATGTAAAATATTCAATAAATACGCAAGTAAATGTCTTCAATGACTTAAAAATGGATTCAAACTAAAACCTCTCACATAAAGATATAAACAGTACGATACCAGAAAATAAACAGAAAAGAAATGCATCTATAACCTGTAAAGTCTGATTATATCTGTAATTAACAGTCATTATCTGTTCATTAATAAAAAACTACTTTGAATAATTAGTAACTGTGACAGAAACACTTTTACTGCAGTACTTTATGTAACTGTACAGTTTAAAAGTTATTCCTCTTCATTTGATGCTGTTTTGTATTTTTACACAGGATATTTTCTCCTCCAGTTCTTCTGACAGCTCTAGTTACTAATGATAATCATACAAACACAAGACATCTTAATATAATATTATAATATAGATATAATACTGTTTACATCAGGTGGTTCGATGAGCTCCCACTGTTCTAACTTATTAAAGTTGACTTTGTCTGAATCAAGACATGACGAGAACTTTTAATAATTAACTATTTACAGACAATTCGAATTTACATTGATTCAAATTCATGAGCTGATGTAATGTTTGTGGAGTCAGAGGTTAAAGGTCGGTGTCAGAAACGTGGGTCATCAGAACTGACTGTGTGTGTGTGTGTGTGTGTGTGTGTGTGTGTGTGTGTGTGTGTGTGTGTGTGTGTTAATACAGTTTATGTGTGAGAACATGAACAGAACCTCTGACAGTGCAGGGTGTCAGTAAACCCCCCCCCCCCCGGCGGCCGAGCGCTGAGTTATGACATTGTTGGCATAGCTGTGCTGCAGGTGGAAACACGTCTCTGTGAAATGCAGTTTAACTAATGGTTCACCTCCTGCAGCAATTTGTCCTGCACAACAACACATAAATTACCGTTTAGGAGACGACTGTAGGCCCCCGGCGCTCCGCAGCGCTGACTGACAGTTTGGGGCGAGTACAGCAGCACTTCTCAAGCCCCCCCCCCCCCGGGGCTCCTGCAGGGAGTTCCCTTTTAAAATTCAACTTTGATTTACAAGAATTTCCCCAATTACAGACTGAAAGAGTCTTTAAATTTCACTCAGATCTGTCAGGCAGCCGTCTGGTCACGTCGGTTCGTCAGTGGTGTCCATGACAACTGACCCACATCATCACAATAAGAACAATGGTCACAAGCAAAGAGTTCGTTCA